CGAACAGTTCAGCTGTTCAGATTTCAGTAAAAACTACCGAAGTCGGCGATAATTTCTAAGTGTGTAGTTGTCTCAGATGTGTGCAAGGATAGGGGTCATCAAGAAAAAATCAAAGCTATTACAAAGCTGGTCACGTCTTTTCGTAACGCCAAGTGCAAAAACTTTTTCGAGGTTTCTGGTGGAAAGTATTCTCCTATTCCAGTTCCAACAAGATGGAATTCGAATTTTATGATGAAACGTAGTTTGCTTAAAAATAAAGATTTTTTCGATAAACTTGGCCAGGAGTACAACGAACTGGGTGAATACATAAATTATCGTCGAGTAGAGTACATATTTTACAAACTTTTTCATCTCATATTTATAGATCTCACCTCTTATTGGGATTTCATTGAGTCGTTTGTGGAAGCATTCGCACCATTATATGAGTGCACGGTTGCGATACAGAAAGAAAGGTGTACACTCAGTGATTTTTTTGGTCTCTGGATGACCGCATTTGGCAGAGTATCTGCGTTAGAATTGAACATGTTCCGAACTACGATCCTGGAATCCATGCAACATCGCGAAAAAGCCCTGTTCGATAATTACGCTTTTTAGACAGCGGTGTACATGGATCCCCGGTTTTCATTTCATGGTTCGAATTTATTCTCATCGTCACAGAAGTATGTGTGCATATTCAAACATGCGTTGATATGAAATTATATCATTGTTTCTCCATTCTAGGATTATTTGCTAGCAGTGTACAACAAGCTTACTAACAAATCACAAACATCGCATCAAGATCCATCACCTCTACCAGAAAATGAGGGTGTGCCATCTACATCACAGGGCAAGTTTAGCCTCAATAGTTACTTGTCTTCGAGACTCGGCGAAAGTTCTGCAACGATTCCCACAAGCAACACCTTAGAAATTAGGCTAAGGAATCTTCAGTACCAACAACGGGTAGATGCTGATATGCAAGATTTCAGTATCGTGCACTACTGGGTTCAAAACGCTTTGAAGATTCAGAGATATGGGAACTGGCCAGGGTTGTATTCGGTGCAGCAGCGACGCAATGTACTGTAGAACGTGATTTCAGCCAATTCAACATTGTAACAACCAAAAAACCGTCTTAAGGATCAAAATCTCGAGAACGTCCTCAAGATTAGAGCCAACAAAGGTATGATTCAGGAAGCTCTCTGTGCAGCTTTGCAAGAATGATTGTTATGGGTTGCTTGAATTCCTTCTAGTTAGAAATTGATTCTCTTTGAATGTTTAATTGAAATAATAAATATTACCCGTTCAAAATGATGTGACTATTTTATTACGTCAAGAGTTTGTTTTAATTGCTATGGAAAACAAAACAAAATTGTTTCATTTCGTATTATTCAATATACAAATACAATTCATTCGTGAGCATTGACAGATCGTGTACTGTTGTATATTGCACGTCAACAGCCTAAGTGAGACACTATTCCAGCTCCGATGAATGTTTCCGAAGAAATTAACAAGCTTATCGAATAATGGCACAATTTTCACGGGTGCTGCTTAAATTCTTCAGTCAAAAACAGACTCATCTTGGAAGTTGTACAATTGCATCACATTAACTTATGGACCTAGGCATCCAACTATTGTTGTCGAATTGTCCAAATTGCCAGCAGTCCTAACAGCAACCAGCAACACTCCGTTTTCACGATGATGTATCCGAATTATTTAAGCTAGCCGAAACGACGATTTATTGTTTGTGCACCGTATCTTCTCAGCGTATAAGCTCATGAGCCAGGATTACTTTCGGCGTTATACACACGATACGTTGGTAATCGCTGAAATGAAATTTATGTTATAGTGGGAACAAGTATACAAAAGAATAAATTATTTGTATAATACCTTATTAACTACGTTGTACGTATTCGCCACAGAATAAATTTTAAATACACTACTTGCAAAATACAAATGTAAACAGAAGAGTATGGATTGCTGTGATTGCTGTCTTATATCGTTTTTGACATTTGCCGATACAGCTGCAGCGGCACTAAATACCTCACCGTACTCCGAATATAATGAGAGTTCAGCAATCAGCTTTATGTTTGTTTACAAACCATTTATGTTGAGTTGACAAAGGATCGCATTTGTTGGCGCCGCTTCACCGGTGCAGAACCGTTTTAAAAACGAAAACGAGATAGAGATTGCTGTCGTTTATCGTACGCACAATACGTCAGGTATACGTATACGTAAATGTTTTCGTTGGGATTTTTCTTCCGTTGCCTAAAATTTTCCCGATGAAAACAAATCACTAACATAATTGTACTTTAGCAATCTCTATAGAGATCTCCAAGCGCAATCTCACGAACACTAAAATCCAACATCCATATATAAAAATGAATAAGAAGAAGAACCAAAAAGGTATCGTGATATCACAACTACTTAAAAAGGTAGCGCGCGGTCTCACGCACACTTTTGTGCATCTGGAGAACTCTATTAGTAGATCGAAACCAAACATCAAACCGTTGCTGCGGAAGAAGACTAGATAATTTTTTCTAAAAGTCTCATGTGAAAATCAATTTGAACAGCATTTCACAATCGAATCATTTATCAAAGAAACAAATTCAATTAGCTTTGATTTATGATTGAATTGATTGTTTATATAGCGATTGGAACTTTACAATTTTGCTAACGTATGATACTTGATTTTCTTGAAATTTAGTTGATGAACTGAATATCGGACTTCTTTAAAAAGTATGCTAGGTATTTCGAGGACTTGTTTGTTGCTTAATGTCCTATATACCAGGTCCACCAGACAGAATAACCCGTCTCTTCACTCTTTCATTCCTCAAAGGTAACTGTGTGGGTGCATAAAGCACCCAATGCTTCTCTGTGCAGTGTGCTGAACATTCAGCACTATCGCAGGGACTCGTAGTAAGCCATGATGAGCGTTGTGAGGACAACGAACTGAACACTGCACTTTCTTCTCACAATAATCAGCCACCGTGGAGGTAAGACGGTATCGGGCAGATTCAACGACGTCACGTTTCTTGATCCATTTGAACATCTGCAGAGTGAAAGAGACCGAAAATTGTGTCTGCTGGACTAAATCTGTATGATATTGCTCGTAGCCCACTGAAAAGCTCTGTGCTCTCACAAGCAGTTGTAATAGTGAGAATGAATGCCCTCTCCAGAATGAAGAAAAGTGAGAAACGAGAACGAAAACTATTGTGAGAAAAGATTGGTATGAAATTCACCACTCGTGCTTCTTAGCGATTCTCATTTCTCATGACGAGTGAAAAAAGCTTATTTTCTTTTCGCGAAAATGAAAAGTTGGATCCCTGAAGACATATGAAGGAATTTCGTTTATCTCGTTGCATATTTTCCTACATACATCTGGCATCCCTGCAATGGACCGAAAGCTGATCTGGATGATCACCCTAGATTTCACCAATTATAAGAGTGCCTCTGTCCAAGATTTGGCTGAGGACTGGGTAACAGTAACATCCTACATGCTATTGAAACGGCTGTTTCTCGGCTACCCTGAAACCAATTGACCTGAATTTCAGTAGGTGGCGATAAATGTGCCAGACTCGCTATATGATATTCGTCATATAATGGTGGGAATTGTAATTAATAATGCACATTTCCAGGAGTTATTCTCCTTTTAACTCGACCAGCACTAGTTCATCAGGTGCTGTGGAGATAGAGGGCGCATGATGCGCAGTTGGTGGCGATATTTCACCCAATAGCATTTGTGCAATGGTTTGTTTCCCTAATATTTCGGGACGCTTAACGCTAATGTCAACATGCAATCTAGGTGAATGCAGCAATCGTAGTTGTTTTTAGTGATATAAGGGGCTCGGTGGCCCCTTAACATCGAGGGTTAAACCCCAGGCTCCTTTCTATTATCGATAATTTCTTTTCGTATAACAGATCGCTGCTCATAATATTGATAAAGGAGAGACATTCTATTGTAACAGCTTCATGTCACTGGGTTTAAACGGTTGTCGGTTGCAGTTGTTTACTGTGATATTAGGAGCTCAAGGATCAAGTTTGAGAGCGCTTCGATTACTGAACATAAGTTCGTGAATTTAATCCCAGGCTTCTTCATATTAAGGAGTTGCAAAGATTGCAATTGCGATTTCATATTTTTACTTTTTACCTATTATTCATTTTAATTGACGGTCGTTATGGTCGTTGTTGAGACCACCACCTCCAAGTAACACTTGCAACATCTTGCATGAAAAATAAAAAATAAATCCAGTTGTAAATAGGTTATATTTTAATTGCTTTTAAAACATCCTGTTTTAAACGCGTTGTATTGTTGTTTGTGAAGTATTCAACCTTTCTGACAAGCACTTGTTATCTTGAAGTTATAACTCGATATTGCATGTCTCAATTACCAGTTTATAACACATTTATAACTGATTGTGTTTGGAGAAAACTGGCTAGCCTTATGTACAACATGTTTTCATATGTCATTATTAGAAACATGAATACATTATTAATAAGTTATATTTCAGTTGTACTCATGTTTCAAAAAATGGCATATGAAAACATGTTGTATATAAGGCTAGCAAGTTTTCATCAAAAACAATCAATCAAGTGTTATTGTTGCCGCAAGTCTACCAATTTACCACAGGGGTGGTGAATCTGGTAACCCGGTCGCTGAAGGCGACGCGTCCAACAGAAACGTCACCCGCTGTCACCGATGATCAACCGAGCTCAGGACGGTCGAGCTGTCAAACGAAAACCCTGCACGACCTCGGATGACTACGGCGTTTTAGTGGAGTGATATTTGTATTTAATTAGTTGAATTTCCTATTAACCTTAAATCTATTTTTCCGTGGATTAAAGTTATATACATATTGCTAACCATAAAAGCACTAAATTGTAAGTTACTTGTCCTAAATCTACCATTTCTGTTCTAATTAATCCTATTAATTGTAGCTTTGAAGCTGATAAAAATATAGCTCTCGAAAATTAGTGCAAGGGGGTTTTATTACGGCAACAATTCTTCAAAGAATTTACCTTGAACGATGCCGAACCCCCCGGATCCTCAACGTATGCCTGCAGATAAAGAGGTTAGTTGTGTGGCGTGCAGCAAGTCCGATTTGCCGGCCAACTTCGTGCAATGCGACACCTGTGATTGCTGGTGGCATTTCGCATGTGCCGACGTCGATTCATCGATTAGCGAACGGGCATGGATATGCACCAAGTGCGAAGCTGCCCCCAGCGTGTCGGCAAGAAGCAGCAAATCCAACAAAAGCGGATCGACTGTCGCTCACGAGCTCGAACGACTGAAGCGACAGCAAGACCTCGAGCGGCAACAGGCGGATTTGAAGCTGCAGATGAAATTTTTAAAGCAGCAACAAAAACTGCTGGATAAGGCCAGAGCGGCCGAGGAGACCCGGAGTCAGAAGAGCCAAGTAAGTAGTCAGGCACATAATCGGCGAGTGCGTCGATGGGTAGAGGAGTCGTCCCGTGACGGTACGGAAGAAGGCGCGGTGGGCGGAAATCCAGCACCAGCTGCCTCGCCAATCGATCACGGCGTTCAACCACAAGGCTCCAACACCGGTGACCCGAATCAAACCCAGGGGAGAGCGAAATCTCGCGATCGGTCGCAGTCGCGTAACGAAGTGGCTGAATTGCGAGCACAGTTGGAGCAATGCATGAAGCGGATGGAAGAAGCTTTCCGTCAGCAGCCAGCGAACACGGTACCGCAAGCGCCACCGCTGTGGGTACCCGAACCGGGAAGGATGACACGTGATGAACACCGGGATACAGGTGCTATTCCTAAAACGTATCCTAACCCGGAACAAGCAGGTAAGCGTCAGGCCCCTCTTCACGCTCAAAATAAAGGCAATCCTGGTTTATTTGACATAAGTCCTCCCACAACCAACCAAAACAACCACCCATTTCCTCAGTTTGTGCCACCGCAAAGTACAAACCCACTCTCAAACATTAACGATCGCCTTCCTTACATGAATGGGTCCAACCGTCAAGTTTTCCCCCTACGAAATCCCCCTAGAAATCCCCCCGTGAATGTGCAATTGGGTCCCACGTCGCAGCAGCTTGTAGCCCGTCAGTCCTTAGCTAGGGATCTTCCTACGTTCACCGGGGACCCAGCCGAATGGCCTATATTTATCTCCAGTTACAACTACACGACCGAAGCTTGCGGCTATACGGATGGCGAAAACATGATCCGGCTACAACGTTGCCTGAAGGGCAGTGCGCTCGAGAGTGTCAGGAGCAGACTTGTGATACCTTCCACCGTTCCACAGGTCATCGAGGCACTGCAGATGCGCTACGGACGTCCGGAACTCCTGATCAACGCTCTGCTCCAGAAAGTTCGATCGATTCCAGCACCAAGATCGGATCGATTAGAGGGGCTCATCCATTATGGGACCGCTATACAGGCACTGTGCGATCACATCGAGGCGGCGAACGAACTCAGTCACCTGTCTAATCCTACACTTCTGCAGGAACTGGTAGCTAAACTGCCAGCGGACCAGAAGATGATGTGGGCTGGGTATAGACGATGTTTTGCGGGCATCGTAGACCTGAGAACGTTCTGTGCTTACATGCAGCAAGTCGTCGAGGATGCTACGAGTGTACTTTCGTTCGAGTCGGACGGGAACAGATGTCACGGAAGAGAGCAGGGAAAGGAAAAAGCAAAGCAGAAGGGATTCGTCAACCAACACGCGTCCACCGTCGAAGGGTCGTCGGAAGCAGCTGTACAGAAGCCGGCTGACAAGATCGAATGCGTGAACTGTAGTAAATTTGGACATCGTATTCGAGATTGTGGGGAGTTCAAAGCTCTCAGTATCGACAATCGTTGGCGGAAAATTCGTTCGTTGGGCGTCTGCCAAAACTGCCTGTTTAGGCATGGCAGGCGGTCATGCCGAGTCATTACACGCTGCGGCATCGACGGGTGTCAGTATAGGCACCATCCTCTCCTACATTCAACGCAAAGGTCATCGAGTGCTGTCACGCAGGTAGCGGATAATCATACTCATCGTCTGCTTACTTCGAGTGTTCTCTTCAGGATAGTTCCCGTGACTCTCTATGGGAATAGCGGCCAGGTAAATACCTTTGCCTTTCTAGATGAAGGGTCCTCATTGACGTTGATCGAAGGGGAGCTAGTGAACCAGCTTGGGATAACCGGAAGACCACAACCTCTCTGCCTGCGATGGACGGCAAACACCTCCCGTACGGAGAAATCTTCACAGAGTGTTTCCATTTCGATCTCTCGTGAAGGTAAGGAACGGAAGTTCACTATCGTTGGAGCGCGAACGGTCGAATGCTTGAATCTACCGACACAAAGCTTCCATTTGGAGAATGCAGCGGAGCGCTTCAAACATTTGAAGCATCTACCATTGAAGAGCTACCAGGATGCTACTCCTAGGATTCTGATAGGGCTCGATAATCTGCGGTTGGCCCTACCACTGAAGGTCAGAGAAGGAGATGGATCCGGACCTGTTGCAGCCAAAACCAGGCTTGGCTGGTGCGTTTACGGCCAGCAGCAGCAGCTGGAGCAGGAATCGTACAGTTTTCACGTGTGCGAGTGTACGAAAAACGAAGAGCTCCATGAAACGGTAAAGCAATTCTTCGCCGTAGACGAAGTAGGAGCGGCCAACCCCATTCTCTCGGCCGAGGATCAACGAGCGCAGGAGCTACTGGAGCAAACGACCCGGCGAGTTGGAGACAGATACGAAACCGGACTGCTGTGGCGGAAGGATCACGTCGAGTTACCGGAAAGCTATCCTATGGCGCTGAGCCGAATGAAATGTTTGGAGCGTCGTATGGAGCGAGATTCAACACTGAAACAGAAAATACAGCAGCAAGTTCGGGATTACGTGATCAAGGGCTACGCACACGTTGCGTCGGATGCAGAACTGGAGAGAGCTGACCCAAGAAGGGTGTGGTACCTTCCGTTGGGAGCAGTAACGAACCCGAAGAAGCCCGAAAAGGTGCGCATTATCTGGGACGCTGCTGCCAAGGTGGACGGGTTGTCGTTGAACAGCCATCTGTTGAAGGGACCCGACCAGTTGACCTTTCTTCCTGCTGTTCTATTCCGCTTCCGGCAGTTCCACATTGCGGTTAGCGCAGACATCGCAGAGATGTTCCATCAGATTTTGATGATAGCACGCGATAAGCAGTCATTAAGATTCCTATTTCGCTTCGATCCCACACTGCCTCCCATAGTCTACGTTATGGACGTAGCTACATTCGGAGCAACCTGCTCACCGGCTTCAGCGCAGTTCGTAAAGAACTTAAACGCCAAGGAGCACTCGCAGCAGTATCCTCGTGCTGCTCAACGGATAGTAGACAACCACTACGTTGACGACTATCTCGACAGCTTCGGGGATGTAGAAGAAGCCAAGCAGATTGCTGCAGAAGTGCGCTTAGTTCATCGCAACGGTGGCTTCGTTCTGAGGAACTGGAATGCCAACAGCGATGCAGTGCTGGAGTTCCTGGGAGAGCCAGGGATCGATAGAAACAAGAATATCAACCTGGTTGACAAGGAGCACACTGAGAGGGTTCTCGGAATGCTGTGGATGCCCGCAACCGACGAACTATGCTTCTCAACGCAGATGAACGAGGAAGTGCGCATGCTTATCGAGACTTCCACTCGGCCTACAAAACGGCAAGTACTGCGCTGTGTGATGACGTTGTTCGACCCGCTAGGATTACTGGCGACGTTCCTCATTCACGGAAAGGTTCTAATTCAGGAGCTATGGCGGACCGGAATCAACTGGGATGAGAATATCAAGGACGCTGAGCTGAATCGCTGGCGGGAATGGGTGCAAATGATCCAGTTTATTTCAACGGTTCGTATCCCGAGATGCTACTTCGAAGCAGCGACGAGTTCCACCTATGAGAATGCACAGCTGCACGTTTTCGTTGACGCAAGCCCTGCGGCGTATTGCTGCGTCGTGTATCTACGCGTGATGGATTCTGAGGGTAACGGACAGTGTTCTTTAGTGGCAGCAAAGGCGAAGGTGGCTCCTCTGAAGCCAATGTCCATTCCCAGGCTTGAGCTACAAGGGTGCGTACTTGGAACACGGATGTTGAAATTTGTTCAGGAAAACCACACCATCCCGATCACGAAGCGCTATCTGTGGACGGACAACACTACGGCGCTTTCTTGGATCAGGTCGGATCCACGCAACTACCGCCCCTTCGTTGCCCACAGAGTAGGAGAAATTCTGGAGACTACCAGCGTAGATGAATGGAGATACGTTCCATCGTTGTCCAACCCGGCTGACGAGGGGACTAAGTGGGGCAAAGGACCGTATTTCAGCACCGATAGCCGCTGGTTTGCTGGACCACAGTTCCTGAGGTACCCGGAAGACGACTGGCCAACTCCACCAGAGTTATCTTCCATCGAGACTGAGGAGATACGTCCTTCTGTTCTTTTCCACTTTCCGTATGAGCCAGTCATTCAGTTTGAAAGGTTCCCGAAGTGGGAGAGGCTACATCGCACGGTAGCTTATGTGCTACGTTTCATGAACAACATCAACGGAAAGCGGCGCAAAATGTGTGGCGAATTGCAACAAGAGGAGCTCCAGGCAGCGGAAGCGGTGATCATGAAGCAGGTGCAGTGGCAAGTGTTTCCGGACGAGATGACAATTCTCACGAAGAACAAGTCTGCTGCGGAAGGTGAAGCACAACCGATCCCGAAAAGCAGTTCGCTGTATCAACTAGTACCGGCGTTGGACGAAGACGGAGTAATGCGACAGAGCGGACGCATCGGAGCAGCAAAACATGCATCGTACAATCTGCGGCATCCAGTGATTCTTCCCCGGAAGAGTGAAGTGACTACGCTCGTGGTGGATGAGTACCACCGGAAGTATAAACATGCCAACCCGGAAACTGTAGTCAATGAAATCCGTCAGCATTTTGAAATCCCTCGATTGCGAACAGTGGTGCGAAGGTGCAGCCGTGAGTGTAGGTACTGCATACTTCGCCGAGCGCGGCCGTACATCCCTCCGATGGCTCCACTTCCAGCGGCCCGTCTTGCAGCCTGCAGCCGTCCATTTAGTTTCGTCGGATTGGATTATTTCGGTCCGTTGTTGGTGAAGCAAGGAAGAGCGAGCGTGAAGAGGTGGATCGCACTTTTCACTTGTCTCACCGTGCGCGCGGTCCATCTGGAAGTTGTGCACAGCCTGACGACTTCATCATGCGTTTCCGCCGTCCGAAGGTTCATCGGCCGTCGCGGAGCACCAGTAGAATTCTACAGCGATAACGGGACCAATTTTCAAGGCGCCGAACGACTTCTGCGGGAACAAATTGAGCAGGGACTATCCGCCACCTTCACCAGCTCGAAGTGCAAATGGCTCTTCATTCCGCCAGGTGCTCCACACATGGGCGGTGCCTGGGAAAGGATGGTCCAGTCAGTGAAAGCCGCGATGGGTGAAGCTTACGGGGATGGGAAACTTGACGAGGAAGGACTTGGGACTTTGGTTGTGGAGGCTGAGAGCGTAGTCAATGCTAGGCCTTTGACGTATCTGCCGTTAGACTCGGAGGAATCTGAGGCACTAACACCGAACCATTTCTTGCTCGGGAGTTCGAGCGGTATCAAGGAACCGGGCCGGGACATTCGCTACCAGCAGCGGAACCTTCAGAAGACGTGGGTAGAGATACAACAGCAACTGGACATCTTCTGGAAACGGTGGCTTAAAGAATATCTGCCAGTTATTCGCCGGCAACCGAAGTGGTTCGAAGAAGCTGCGAGAGAGATCAAGGATGGTGACTTGGTTCTCATTACCGATGACGGCAGACGAAGCGAGTGGACCAGAGGACGTGTGGAGCAAGCTATTAGAGGACCTGATGGAAGAGTGCGTCAAGCTATCGTGCGGACTAAGGGAGGTAGTGTACGAAGACCGGTTACCAAGATCGCCTTGCTGGATGTTGGAGAAACCCGTGCAGTCTTGGCCGATGGCAAGATGCACCCGGCGGAGGATGTTGCCGCAAGTCTACCAATTTACCACAGGGGTGGTGAATCTGGTAACCCGGTCGCTGAAGGCGACGCGTCCAACAGAAACGTCACCCGCTGTCACCGATGATCAACCGAGCTCAGGACGGTCGAGCTGTCAAACGAAAACCCTGCACGACCTCGGATGACTAC